GGCTCCTGCCTGGAAAGCAAGGCTCCTTTTTGCCCAGATTAATATCCAATGCTCTGATAACCCCACAAACCTGCTGCATAGCTGCGCTGCGTAAATAAATCAGCTATGTGAGTGAATTCAGTTGTTCTAATCACTTTGCCACCAGCTATGTTTGCATACAGCGACAGCTTCTTGAGGCCTCCGCTACGTTTTATCCGTCTTACCAACAAAGCCCTGCTGAGATTGTGCACTTGTAAATAAAAAAAAAATCAGGAGCCAAGACAGTGCCAAGAAGAGGAAGACTTAGCTGCGCTCACCTGAACACTTCTCCTTAGCATTGGCTAATGAACCTGAGCAGCAGATCTGCTCCTTGGGATCCATCCCATACCCAACACTCCTCGGACAAAGGCAGGTCGGCAGTTTTATGTATCTTCAGGGAAGACGCAGCAAATCACCCACTCGGGCAGGGAGGTGCCTTGGGAAGCAGTGCGCACCAGGAGTTGCTCTCCTTCCAGCATATAGACCCACCTTTAGACTAAAGGCATTAAATTCCATGCCTTTATATGCCATGGGCACGTGTATTTAGGGTGCATGCCTTTATATGCCGTGGGCACGTGCATTGGACTGTGCAAGGGCTCAAATTCCTTGTGGGTATGCTGGTATTGGAGGGAACTGGATTCATCCCTGCATCCCAAGGGAAAGGAGTAGGTGTTGCCCCAGCAGTGCCGGTTAGTGACGGTATTTAATACTCGGATCCAAGTGCAGTGCCTGGTGGTTCAGCAGGGGCGTTTGCAGCCCGGGTGTCTCCTGTTCCTGGCCCAGCAAAAGGCCGTCGCAGCCTCTAGCCCACAGCTCGGAGTCAGAAAGCCTCTCTGCAGACTTGGAGATGCCAGGTGATTTCTACAGCAGTTTCTGCACCAAGTCAGATCAACGTCCTGCACGCAGGAGGGAGGAAATCACCACGTAAATGCCCTCCTTTGCATGGTTTTTCCTTCATGGCCCAAACCCAGTGTCAGCTTTCCCAGTTCGTGGCAGGGTATCATCACTGCTGGGCTGAGAGGAGAGCCACACTTAGTGCAACAGGCACCGTCCCAAACGCCGACAGAGGTGCTATCGGTGTTAGTGCCACTGCCCTCACCTTCGTTATCTGTGTCGTCACACGGACAGCAATGGGAGGCTTAGGTATTCGTACAAGAAAAATGGGACAACCTTAAAGAGGGGACTAGCAGATGTCACGGAGACCAAGATCAGGAGGCAAAAATCAACGCTCGTGCACCTTAGCTGATAGGACCTCACCAAGTGGAAGCAGAAAAAAAACCTACAGACCTGGATATTTTAGCTGATGGCAAGATGTCCGAGCCAAAGCAAGGCAGATATGGAAAAACAAACAATTGTAGGATATATCAAACAAGGTTATTTATAGAAGAGAAAAGGAAGTTTTGATGCCTTTATATGAGGCTCTGGTGAAATTTCATTTAGAGTATTTTGTGTAGCTGTGGTCAAGCAAACATAAGAAAAATAAACTCAGGCTGGAAGATGTGCAGAAGACAGCTGCAAAGATGAGGAGAGGAAAAGAAAGCTTATTTTATGAAAAAGACGAGAGGTTGGCTTGCTTAACCTAATAAAATCAAGACAGGGGAATATGCCTGTCATTTATAAATACATAAAGGAAGTAAATATTATGAAGCTAGAATTGATTTAAGCTAAAGGGCAGCACATATAAATATTTCTAGCCATCTCTAAATTTAGGCTAGAAGCTGCATTTTTAATCAGAGCAGCCAAATTCTGGAGCAGCTTCAAATGGAAGTGGCAGGAACAGGAAATCCACCTGGTCTTTGGCCCAAGCGTGATCCCTTCGACAACAACAGGACGCAGCTGAGCGGTACTGGGTCAGGCCCCACAGTCTTCAGCGGACACGGGGTAAGGAGATTGTCAGGCCAACGACGACTGGTCGTGGTGAGGGTACCAGGACCAACGTCCCCCGTTATCCTGGTCCCAGCTAGCGGCTGCCAGGAGCTAGCGGGAACCTGCACACCTTGGTGCTACCTGTCTGCACGGCAAGGGGTTTGCACGATCGGATCTTTTAACACAGCAGGAAGGGCTGCAAGCTGCTAACGCTTTTGGGAAGACACAAAGAGTTTTCATTTCCAAGATGCCTTCGGACACCAGGAGAGCAATCTTGCAGCAAGAAGCCTGCTGTAGCAAGGAAGTTACAGGACAGCATCTGACTGAACTGCCACCAAATTCAACAGCCGAAATACCTGCAAGCTGCAGCCAACCTTCAGAGGGCACGTCAATGCCTGACCAAGGCTCAGCAAGACAAGGCACAGGCAACGGGGGTTTCTGATTGCCAGCACCAAGTTACAACAGCCACAAAGCCTGGCTGGCAGCTGGCTCTGAGCAAACACAGAAAAGAAACTCTGAAATCAAGGCACAAAGTAGGTTTTTTACTACTTTGCTGTGCGTCCACCTTTGCCTCTTGAGTGCGTTAGAATAAACTTGCTTTTGTACTTAACCATAAAATCTCACCTGTTCTCGAGCAGCTTGGGGGTGGCAGGGAAACGCTGGCGACCGCTCCCAGGAGCACATACCTGATTACACACAGAGCCCACATATCTGTGCGGGAGTGCGTGCCTGCGAGGCACTCCTCCGCCACGCTGCAGATGCCTGGCGTTGTTTCCATCCCACAACCAAGTTTGCAGAGAAAAGTATTTTGTCTACAGCCGGCTGGAATCTGCTAACAAGCAGGGAGAAGATCTGAGAAGCAGCTTCAAGGCGATCCCCACCACAATACAAAACCGAGCCTAGAAATAATAAAGCAGGAATTTTCTAGAAATTAAGCAATCACACCTTCTTCAGGCTCCAGACAGGAAGTTCCTGGGAGCTTGGGGACATCAACTGTCAGGGTTTTTTAAATGAAATTACAGCAAATTTCTTAAGAAATCAAAGGGAACTGAGTATAGGTACTCACATCTCATTGTAAACTCCGACCCACTGCTTCATCTCAAAGGGCACAGCCCTTTATTCTTTCTTTTTAGGTTTTAAGTAAACCAGTTAGCAAGATCCAGAAGTATTACACTTTTACTTCTCTGGCTGCAAAATGCAAGGCAGCCTGAGAAAAAGACCAGAGCAACTTCCCAGTAAAACAAAAATGCACCCCAGCACCCAAAAATTGCCTACGCAGTTCTCGCTAGCCAGGAATCCAATCCCCGTAGCAAAGGTTGGCTGTGCTCAGCAGAACAACACGCATTCTCTGCAAGGAGTGTCCTTCCAGATACACCGGCTAAGCGAGGGTGCTAACAGTGCCCTCGAGCCTGCTGCACTTTTAAAATCAATTTCAAGGTGAACAGATGCAACGTGCACTCGGGCAAGGCCGCGGACAAGCATGAAAATTGCTCCCAGCGTTTGCTGAACTACACACCACGAGCAACTGTTGGGTCCTGCTCCAGCCCGGTCCATTTGCGACTCTTCAGGCATCTGTTGGTGTTAACAAACACGCCTCAACACCAAAGTGGCAGAGGTATTGTTCAAAGCTATCAGATGTGGTGGAAATAGTCTATCAGAAGATTTTCCTGCACCTACCGGAGCTAGCACAGATGACTTTTGTGCCAGGAAAAGGAGACTGAGGAAGCTGCGGTGTTATACAAACACTGAAAATTATTCTTGCCAAAGTAGCCATTAAACGACACCAGAACAAGCCATTCCGATGCAAAATCCCAAACCAAAGTTACCACTGCTGTAACACGGGATCTTGGGCTCACTGCACCCGTCTGGACTCCTGCAGCCCAGTGCTGTATAGGTGCCCCGAGCTCAGAAAACAGGCTGTGGTTAAAGCAGGGCAGGCACCGCCGTCTCCTGTCCGAGGCGGTCTCTGGGCCCGCAGAGGCAATTAAACATCACAGCCTTTGCTCTGAAACCAGCCCGTCCCCTTCTCCAACTCCTCTAGCCAGGAGTTCACCCACCACTCTCCTCCTCCCCATACGACCGCCTGTCGATAACAGATGCATTCTTCAGATTTTCTGCCTACCGCTGGCACGTCACAGTCCTGGCACCCTCGCTGGAGCCAGCGAGATCACGTATCTGGATTGAGATAATGGCATGACAGTACACAGAGCTAAAACAAACCTGCCTTCAAGGAGAAGCTGAGATGTCAGACTTTCTTCTGACTTGCTCTCCATCTCCCTCTGATCTTCTGAGACACACCAGAACGTTGTCTTTTATAATGTTTTCTAAAAATGGATTTTAAAAACTATTTTTCAGTTTTGCTCTTGAAAAAAAATTCTTGAGATTAGAAGGTAATTCTGTGTAAGAACAATTTTCTGAACTCTGCATGATCCAAGCAAGCAGATGCTGAGAAGACAACTTCTCAGCACCCTCCCAGGAAAGGACTAAAGATGAGCAAGCATATGTTTGGAGTGTGCTTACCCTCCTCCGGGCTATTCTGACACTTTCTTGCCCTCAGGACCAATTCCAAAACTCATTTTCAGGTGTCTGCAGTGCCAGCGGCATGAGGGTAAGTTAGATAAAGAGAAAGGCTGCCATCTTTCCCAACAGGACCTTAGGGACGAGGTCAGGAGAGACTGTGTCAAAGGCAGCCCAGAGCACTGCCGGCAGAAGGAGGTCTATTTGTCCAGCAATGTTTTGTTACCACAGCGAAGCAAACTCCCCAAGCCTCAGAGCAGCAGTCCCAGGGAATCCATGGCTCCCCAGATCCTGAGGCAATGTCTCCTCACAAATGCGCCCGTCGTTCCAGGGGCAGAGTATTTCACAGTTTAAATATAGCCAAACCCGATCAGTCATCCCTGAGAAGTCTCCTCTCTTCGTTACTATAGAAGAAAGGAACTTTGCAGTGAAGTGAGGATTTTTAAATTTATTTTTTTAAAAATCCTTTTCCCATCGTCTTACAAAACCTTATGGCTGCTTCACAGCAACCCTCGTGACCCAGCCTGCTAGTGGGGTGACCAGCTCAACTCCTGCAAGAACAGAACTGAAAACGAGCCTCAGGGAAAAACATTTCTCACCTGGACAACTTCTCCATTGGAAGCAATTAAATCCGTGGGGATGGAGACTCTGAAGAAGCGTCCCACCACAGCAGAGCTGTCCGGTATGCCCACCACGGCTGGCACAGTCTCACGGAGGTCCGAGAGCACGGAGTGCATGGAGGCCTCTAGCTGGTTTTCCCAGTCCCGAACCACTTCTGCCGGCTCGCTGGGCCAGTGGCAGTGAGCGGAGGCCGCCAGCAGCAGCACGGGGAGCCAAGTCCTCCCCAGGAAAGGGGGCTGTAGTAGGCATCCAACAGTCATTCTTCCCGGCGGCCTCGGCGATGGTGCTCCAGCCGGAAAGGGGACCACAGGGAATCTGCAGGCACTGCAGCGTAGGCAGGGGATCCGCCAGTCCTTCACAGCAGCCTCATCCTAGGAGTCCTGGGAACCTGGTTAAACAAAGGAAATCCAATCAGCACATTAATTACGATATCCAAGCCAGCCAGCTAACACACACAGACCTCCTTGCAATGGACAGAAGGCTACCAGCCAAGCTACCCTCTTCATTTCAGCTTTTTGATTTAACTGCATGAGTTACCACTACCATTAAAGAGTACAAGAGCTTCTCAGCTCCTCTAGAAAAACAAGATCCTCCTGCTTTTCCATGCACACAACCACGTTTCTGCTGCTTTGGAGCCACAGCATCCTGAGATAGCCACAGGTAGGGAGACAGGGCAGATACAACCAAAGCCAAGACAGAGCAGAGCAGTAACAGGTGACCTTTCACAGCAAGCTGAAGGCAGGCTGGGGCATCAGTGGATTTCAATGCCAGTTACCCAGTGTGACAGTCCCAAGAAACCTTCAGTACTCCAAAGGTGCCATCCTGACAGCTTGATGCACAACAGATGCTTCTGCTCCTCTGACCCACAAGGCTGGCTTTCAAGCCAGGTCTCCTCTCAGTTCCAGCTTTTGATATTAGTGTGTTTAGGCTTGATTTGGGGGCCAGCAATACGCACCCCAAAAATCAGACTGGAGTAAGCTATGCACACGCTGCATCCCATGCTGCTACCCGCTGTCCACTTCCTTCCTGCTCGCACAGCTCGCCTGTCCCCACGCTCTGCCGAGAAACATCTCCAGCTCTCCCACACTTGGTTGTTTTCTTCTTCCACTTGCTTCCTCCCCATCCCCACCCTCTCTCTGGTCCCCTGGCTCACAGCTCTCCTTTCTGACCTCTGTTCCTTCGGTGCATTATTTCCTTCGCTTCCCCAGCTGCTTCTCCCTCCAGACTGCGTTTGGCCGTGGCGCGCAGGAGTCACGGATCTGTACGCACCCCCACGTTCCTCTTCACAGCCTGTTCGCAGGAGAGCCAGCGGGTTCAGGAAGGAGGACAGAGCCGTTTGGGGCCCCGGGGGAAGCCGTGCTGCCCACTCTGGCCTCTCAGTTTACAGCTAACCCAGCCCTCTCTAACTAATCTGTGGTAACAAGCGGGGCAGCGGGTGATGCAGAACTGGAGGACGATGCATGGCCCAAGCAGGTGTTGCTCAGCCCCCAGGAGCACGCAGGACTGGGCTCCCTCAGGCCAGGCACTCTCAGGTCTTGAAGCCACTCCTTTTTTCCACGCTGAGAGAGAAGCAGCTCCAAATTCCCAGAGCAAACCCAGCCCAACTTCTAACCATCGCTCCCAGTCCCCTGAGCACGGCTCTGATTTAATTTTAGCCCGTTCCAGCTGCATTGTGTGATGCACATCAGGCTGTCCCAACAGACCCTGGAGCCAGACTGGGTGGGAAGGGAAATCCCACTGCGACTTGCCCTCGCAGAGGTCCCGGGGCAGCACAACCGCAGGACAAGCTGTCCTGCTGCACTGCGGCCAGGCGAGTGCGTATTGCCCACCACGGGCTTGCAGAAGCAGGCAGAGGGCCCAACCAAGCCCAAGGTTACCACGGCAGGCTCTAGGAATAATAGGAGAGATAAGATTTGGTTGCTCACCCTAAAACCTGCACTGTAGAGAAGCTGAGAGGTAGCGTGCAAGGACTAGTACACCCTCACCCCTTGATGGGACTTTTCACAACAAACCAGTCATGCAGAGGGGCTGACATCTCCCGTCCCAAGGTAACAGACCCAGCAAACACAGCCGCAGCTGGCAAAGAGGGCTGTGGGCAGTGGAAATTACGAGCTGAATGCAATAACCTCCGGCTACAGCATCCACAAAACTGATATCTGATCTGACCACTGTCAATCGTAGAAAACCTCTCTCAAGTGAAAGGCAAAAGAGATGGTGGAGGCAGAATAATGTTGCTGGAAACCGCAAGACAGATGGGAGGATGGTCGGTGAGAGATGCCAGCGCCGGCAGAAAGCCCATTCCCCCGCTGCTCTTGTCGTTCCGACTGCCTGAGCTGACTGGGACAGGAATACACCACATGAAACAGGGAAGCCAAGGCCAGGCTCTTCCCAAAGGCAACTGAGCACACGGTGGTCTTCACCCAGAACAAGATGCCTGAGCTGCTTCTCCAGAGGTTATCATCGTGAAACATGAAGTGGCTAGGTGGGTAAGGACAACTCATGCTTCCTACAGAGAACATCTCTCCTACTAGCCCCCTGCGTGGTCAGAGGATGAGTCTGACACACCGATTGATTGTGGATGAACCCAGAGTCACCTCAGCAAGTAGATGTCCATACCACAGCAGATGTCCAGTGGAGAATATCCAACAGGCTGAAAATGAGCTGCAGAGATGGAGCAGACAAATGCAAGAGGTCCTGAGGAGGCCACTGATCGTCACAGCAGGAAAACGAGGGACTCATCTCTGCGGTGCCTTAAATAAACAGAAAGAGGAACCTCCTTCAGCCTCTGTGGAGTCCGGGCCACAGACACTGGGGTGATGATGCCTTGTCCCATGAGCTACCTCTCCTAAAGCCTGCTTCTTGGAAAGTCCTGCCGTGTGAGGGACTAGAAAGCAACCTGCACAGCAAGTACAGGCAGGATCAGAGACTCACTGGGAGAGGAATGCAGCAGCAGAGCCTGGCAGCCCGGTGGCTGCTGCGGGGCCGAGATGCTATCAGCATGGAAACATGGCTGTCACAGCTGCGCTGAGCCTCCACACCTGAGCGGAGGAGAAACACCCCAGACAACCAGACAGACACCCAGCGTACAACCGCACGGAGCTGTAAAGATGTCTGGAGAAGTTCAGCACCACATCTTCAAGCCAGCCCCTGGCCTGTCACGGCTGCGGCAGAGCTTGTGCATGAGCGTAGTGCAGCTCCGTGTTGCTCAGCCAAGTGACGTGATCTGGCCTGGGGCGTTTTTGTTGGATGGAGAGGAGTATTTGGTCAGAAAGGAGCTGGTTCTTGGTATCTGTGGTGAGCAGGAGAGGAAGATGAAGTCATCAGCCATTTCAGAAACAATTATTGGAGCAGGCAAACACTGTCCACCTGATACGTGCCCCTCAGCCAAGCAACTCACACACTGGCTGCGAAGCTGTCGTGTGACACGCGCAGGTCGCACAAATTCATAACTTCATTTTAGGGGAACTACAGAAGAACAGTGTTTGCACATGGAAGCGGAGCACACAGGAGGTATAGGAAAAATTCAGTACCTGATAACAACAGGGTAAAAAAAAACCCCAGAAGAGCTGAGAACAAACTTGCACCACCAAAAAAATCTCTTAACACAGCTCCACCTCACCAAACAATCGACAGAAGCTGAAACAGTGCCAGGCTCTCACACTGTGTGCTAAGGAGGAAAGGCAGCTACAGATAGCTGGAACAAGGCATTGCCCCACAGTGCTGAGGTCTACGTGGCCTATTGCTTCAAGACAGAACGCTTTTTGTGATAAGAGATCCTCTGCCTAAAAGCCAGCAGTCCCACTCAGCAGGTCCACTGGCCACCAGCACTGAGGATCCGCATAGCACCTCTGTCAAGTTCAAGAGCCCAAACCATTTCACACGGTGCTACCACAGGCACAACCCAGACTCACTGGACTGAGACATCATCCCAGTCAGTGTTCAGGATCATGGCCCCCAGTCAGCGAGTGGCACAGAGCTGGAGCTCCCCAGGAACACAAACCTCAACGCTTCACGCAAGCTCAAAACAGGGCCAAAACTCAAACACAGATGGCATTCTGCGCGGTCATCTGCTGATCTCTGGGAAGCATCAAGCCATGGGGCCAACTGACTTAGATGGCACTCTGAAGTTACAAGGCAAGGCTAGGCCACCCCAGTTTCTCTACGTTGCACAGTGCTCCTTCTTCCAGCAGGATCTATACGTACTGCATAGTTTCGCAGAACACACACAAAGGTTCAGGTTAGTCCTGAATTTCAGGATGTTTCGTTCCGTCTGATCTTCTGAAAGTACCGACTTGCTCTTTATCCTCCAGCTTCTGTGAGAGCTCTTTTGGTCTCAACTTTGAGCCTCCAGACTGTTGGATGAAACATCAAAGTCGGTATCAACATCTGCTTCAGTCCCAGTGCTCGGTGCACGTGCCAATGTTGATGCCCGACCTCCAGTGCCAGACCCCCATCTCAGAGACACGGAACTGGGCCTGCTGGGGGAAGCTGTGTTGATACGATGCTGCACTTGATATGATGCTGACTTGTCAAGACAACGCTGGAGCCTGCTCCTTCTCCATGCAGCTACGAGGCCCGCTGACACCTGTGGGACATGCTCTACCTTCATTATTCAGGAACGCAGAACAGTGTGGACAGAAGATGGGACTGAGAACAGGACAAAGTAGGTACTCCCAACCACGCATCTTCCCAGAGACCTTTCCTTCTGCCCAGCGCAGAATCGGGAGCATGGGGTCAGGAGAAGCACGGCTGCCCTAGAAATCGCTCCTCCTCTGTGGCCAATTACACCACCACTTCAGCAAGAACCAGTGAAAGTGAAGTCTCCGTCCGGCTGCATCTAATCCAATTGCTCAAGCACACAATCACATCACTGGGCCGCGGTAATTAATCACTGCCAGCATATTAATGACGCTGAACCTAGCATGCAGAAAGCTCAGGTAAACTGCCGTGCAATTCTCTACTCCAGATAAGAAGGTATTTAGGAGAGTTAGGAGGAACCTCACTTACCTGATTGCTTATTTACCAAAATCCTCATTAAAGGAAGTGTTAAACAAGTGGCCTTTCTCTAAGGAAGCAAACTCAGACTCAGCTAAAAAGGGCCAGCACAACTTTCCAGAACAGAGCTATTGTCTCTGCAAAGATCTCTTCTGCGTGTTTCCACAGGAGGATCTCTGGGCAAGTCCCATCAGCTACCGCGCGTCTGCGTGTCAAGGCAGCAAGCAAGAGGAATGATGAAATCCAGCGTCACCAGCCAGGCACACAAAGATGGCACTCTGCCGTACATGCTCCC